TCCACTGTTTTCTAATTGCAGGATAACATAGATGAACCTTATGAAGTTCCACTGTTTTCTAATTGCAGGATAACATAGATGAACCTTATGAAGTTCCACTGTTTTCTAATTGCAGGATAACATAGATGAACCTTATGAAGTTCCACTGTTTTCTAATTGCAGGATAACATAGATGAACCTTATGAAGTTCCACTGTTTTCTAATTGCAGGATAACATAGATGAACCTTATGAAGTTCCACTGTTTTCTAATTGCAGGATAACATAGATGAACCTTATGAAGTTCCACTGTTTTCTAATTGCAGGATAACATAGATGAACCTTATGAAGTTCCACTGTTTTCTAATTGCAGGATAACATAGATGAACCTTATGAAGTTCCACTGTTTTCTAATTGCAGGATAACATAGATGAACCTTATGAAGTTCCACTGTTTTCTAATTGCAGGATAACATAGATGAACCTTATGAAGTTCCACTGTTTTCTAATTGCAAGATAACATTTGATCTTTTAAATGGTTTAGAGCTTATAAAAATAATGGTTTTAAGGTTTGTGAAGACAAAAACCACACTCTTTGTCAACCAAACTTTTCAAACTTCATCAAATTACTGCAATATCATTTGGCATGGTAGCTTCAATAAGAGATGTAACATAAGGAGGAAAAGTTGAGGATGTAAGATAACTAACTTAAAATTTTCATCGCAAAATAAGGCCAGCAGAAGTAGTAAAAATAAAAATGAAAAATAAATACATAAAAAAATAAAGCACACAGTGGGTAAGAAGATGGCAATCAGACCAGTGTTTACCCAAAAAATTCCAAAAAACAAAAAGAATAGCAGATGGTAGTCAAAAAGCCAAATAACACTTGTAATATCATCAACGGAACTGAAAATTAACAGATCTATTTGTAATTTAATAGTTTCTACACATGTTGTTGCAAATCACGGGTAGCAGATTTGCAGCAGAGGGAAGAGGCTTACATGATTGTGTAGATCAACCGAGGAAGACGACTTTGGTAGAGGGAATTCGGTGGCGATGTCGATGGCCGACGCTAGGAACAAGTCTTACGCGGCGTCCACAGCAGCGGTGCAACGGTGCAGCGGAGCGAAGACGATCTGAGAAGGGGAGAAGAACAAGAGGCGTGAGATGCAAAATGGTGAAATGTTTTGACGAAACAAACCCTAAAGTGAATGGAGGGTATATTCGTAAATACCCCCTCCTGCGTTTATCCAGCTTCCCAAATGAGTTTGACGAACAAAAAAGCCACGTTTAGCGTTTTCATCAGACGCCCAAACGCGACTTTTAACCACGTTGCCAAAACAAGCCAAAATATTACATCTAAACCACAACCATTTCACTTTTCTTTTACAAAAAAATCAAAAAGTTAAAAAGTTCTTTCCAAATAAAATTAATTTAATCAGGTTAAATTAGTTAAAAAAAAAAAATTTCAAACTAAAAATATTCTTCCCAAAGGAAATTGGCTCATTTGCACAAAAGTCTTTTCCCTTTTGAAAATAAACTTTTGCTACAAATTAAAATTCATCTATTAGTGTGATTTGGTCATCAATTTTGACCTTGTCGTCAACTAGTACCATTTGATCAACATTAGTTGCATTATAAATTATAGAGAACGCTTGCTTGACGTTTTAATTTTCAAGACTTTCGCCTAATCTTCGTGGTGGCTTATTTATTACGCTCCCTTTCTTTCGACTAAAAATAATTATGAACCATTTTTTTAAGAAAATGTTTTGTAGGAAAAATATTCTTTTATATATAATTGTAATCGTAAAACTAATGTCATAATAATTATAATAGTGATGGCGACATTAGTTAGACTTTGAAAATATTTTTCACATATTAAAAGTAAAACATACTTTTCGTATGCTTGTTTTTCATTGACGGTGCAAAAAATTTTCTTTGACTTTTATTTTTTTGTTGTTCCAAATCCTAGAACATGTGCAAAATAATTTTGTCCCAATAAATGAAGCATTAGATTGTAAAGATTTTTTATTAAAATATGGAAAATGAGTTGGACCCCTTTAAGGAGGCACCCTCTTTGACCCCCTCTCTTTCTGATTGGCCAATTTTTCTTTTTTCTTTTTTTTTTTCTTCTCCTCCAATCGCCACCCAACACGTGTGTGTGGGGTGGTGGGGGTGGTGATTGGTGGGGGTCTCAATCACTTCTCTTAAAATAAATTGAAAAAGGTTAACACTTTTGGCTGGTATGGATGATCTGGTAAAGGTTAGAGTTTAGTTTAATTTTGAAAGAGTCAAGACTCATTTGGGAACATGCTATTTTAGTATTTTTTTGATTTTTTAGCTAAAATATGAGATAAAAAAATTAGTATATTTGGAGTAACTTTTTGACTTTTTACAAAAAGATGTGTAAAAAATAAAGAGAAAATAGAATCTTTGACTTTTTGGTATAGATTATAGATTTTTTGATTTTTTTAATAATTTTTTGACCTTTTAACTAAAAGGTTAACTTGCCTCAAAAGGTTAACTTGCCAAACGAGGCATAAGTATTCAGTGCATGATGCTGTTTCTAACTTGAAGTAGGTCTAGTAAGGTGTGACCCAGGACAGCTGGTTCCAGATGCAGAGTAAACTCTTGGCTTTGGGTGTGATAGTGTTTGTTTGTTTTTTTTTTTTTTTGTTTGCCTTGCTGCTGTAGTGTTGTTGTTTGTTTCCTTTCTTTGGTTGCTTTTGATTGGTTTCTTATCAATTTTGGATCAAGTGCTAATATATAATTGTACTTCTTTTGCGGTGCCAACTTAGTTAGAATTGTTGAGGTTAGCTTTGATGATCTACGCACTTTCTTGCTTTTTTTTATGTAAGTTTTGTTTATATTTTGCTCTCTTCATCAATAAAATTTTCTATTTTGCTGATAAAAAAAAAAAACACTTTTAAAATACCATCTCTAAATTTATTCTCAATTGGGTGGATTGTTATATATGAGTTGCTAACTCATTTAAGAATCAACTAATTAAGACCTAATCCTTGCCACGTCAATGCAGGTATAATTTTTTTTTACCCAATTGATAAGAGAATTATTATAAATATGTTTAAAAAATTATATCAATCGAAACAATTATATCCCAACAACCCATAAACATTACAAGAAATAAATAAGGAGAAGAAAGCAACGACTCAAACCCAATAACCACCAAAAAAATACTCTATAATGAAAAAATAAATAAATAAATAACACAATGCAACCTCATAATTAGGATTGCAAACGAGCTGAGTAGAGCCAAATTTTAGTATGTTTGGATTTATTTATTAAGATTTTAACGAGTTTGAGATTGAGCTCGAGCTTAATAAAAATTTAACAAACAGAGCTCGAGCCGAGTTGACTTAGGCTTGACTCGAGCTTAAGCCTGTTTACGAGGCTTAACGAACCAAAAAATTTATAAATTTATACTAAAGTTACAATTAAAATTTTGATTATATAATTATATATACAATATATATAAATATATTAAAAAAAGTCAATATTTTTTTAAAATAATAATATTTACCACCACTATTATATAAATGTACTATAGTTAACTATTATTTACATTTATATTTTTTAAATATATAAATAACATATTTATCTTATATTTTATACATATTTTTATATTCTTTAATATATAAATAATAAATATTAAACGAATCAACTAACGAGCCGAGTTTACGAATGTTTAGGCTTATTTATTAGAAATTTAATAAACTCGAGCTCGAGTTCGAACGCAAAAAAAAAAAAATTAACGAATCGAATTCGAACGAATTCTTACTAAACCGAACTCAAACCTATTCACAAACAATTCTGTTTATTTGCGGTCGTACCTATAATGTGGTGAGGAGAAAATAACCAATTTTTGCTTATGACAATAAAACCCCCTTTCACGATGTAACAACCTTGTCACATATGCTTGGAAGAAAAAATAATAAATAATTATTAATTAATAATATCATATTGTTAGCCATCTCAATTTCCCAGTTGATTCAAAGTGGATAAATTTACTAATAATATTTTACGAGTCTCTAAGCAACACACACGTAAATTTGTTGAGTTTAGGTGTGTAAACAACCATAAGCAAGTCACTAATCCATTATTTTTTAGTATGACCATAGGAGTAGAATAATCTTTCATCCGCTAGTTCTAAATGCATCATATTAAAGAACAAGAAAGATCAAATGTATTAGGTAGAAACCGTGTGGTACTCAAAAAGAGTAAGTAGATATTTATTCTACACATGAAAAATTCAATGCATGTTTTTAGAGTAAAAAAAAAGCTAGGTCGTGCAATATTATGACGGCTAGTTAAAGAAAATTTTATGGACTAACAAATGAATGAGCAATTTTCTCAAGATGGACTTGTTCATGATAATTTTGTAACTTACATTCACCCCTCGTGCGTATTACTTTTTAAGCTGTGTTTGATTCTTGAAATTAGAATAACTAATTTTTATTTTGACAATTCTGTGTGTCAATAGATTAGTTGATGGAAACGTAATCTTTGATTTGTTGCCTTGCTTGGTTGTTAGCACCGATGGTTAAATTGATCATCAAGTATTTGATGATTTAACTAGTTGAATTATAAGCATAAATCAACAGTCTAATATGAAAGAAATTTTAATTGGTTTGATGGAGGGGAAAAAATGAAATGAGAAAAGGAGAAAAAAAAATTGTTTTAGGATCTTAAATTTGTATAAATATTTGTGAAAAGAGTTTTTTTTTTAAAAAAAAGTTAAAAAAAGAGTGAATTGTAAGTGAAATAGAAAGTTTATTTATTTATTTATTTATAAATAGTTGACTAATTATGAATTGATCAGAATTCAAAAAAATAATAATAATAAATGCAAAAAAATTCAAAATATGGCCAAAGGCTACAGTTGAAGTTTTTCCAAACAAAATTGGACACAATCAATTCAACATATACATAATCTTCAATTGTTCATTCCCTTCATACAAATACATTTATTGTTTAGAAATCTAACAAACATACATTTGCCAGTGTACATGAAATCGCCATTTTTATCATATAAAAATACAATTTTACAAAATCAAGATTCGTCAGAATACAACAGCACCAGCAGATACAAATAATTGAAAAAAAATAAAGGGTACCGCATGGCTAAAAAGACATTTACAAACCGTAGTCATCTACCATACCACTAGTAGTTCCAGAACACTAATAATAAAACCAAATTGACTGGAATAGGCTACAGAAGAATAAAATTATATTTGATATACAAGATAAAGATAAACTTATTTTTAAGGGTATGTTAAGGGATTAAGGTACAGATCTCAGAAAGGAACGTAGTTATCTCAAGCCCAAATCAGGATCATCTTCATCCTCGGGATCTAAATCGCTTGACATCCTGATTTTCTTTGCATCTCTTCCTCCAGCTCTTCCCTTCTTCGGTTTTCCCCTAAAGAAACAACTCACATTAAGAACTAACAAGCACAATGTTCCTACCTTTCATCATGTGATCTTGACATATTGATGAATATGAATACTCATTGGATTTCTTTTAAAAATAAATCAACAGAAAATTTCAATAGTTTTTTGGTTTGTGGTGATGCAAAGGTTCACTTACTGTCCATTAGTGGCTAAGCCTCCACCCTTAGGTCGACCTTGACCTAAATCTGATCTTCCATCTGCAATGAAAAGAAGAAAAAGTAAAATGGTCAATTAATCACAGATGAAAAGGATAATTCTAGGTGTATTAACAAGAGCACACCATCTCGTCCAACTCCTTGTTCTTCAGCCTGCACATAAATAAAACAAAGTGAACAGAACAGCAACATCAGATACAAACAAGTACATGCTAAACAGTGCCTCGTTTTCAATTTCCAGTAGAAAAAACAAATTGGAATTGTGTAAAACAAAGTAGCTAAAGCAAAAACTAGAAGTGGAAAAGAATTTAGCAAAGTGGAAAGCAACAATTAGATAGCAGCAAAAGAAAAGAAAGGATGAGAATTCTCGAGTGAAAAGCAAAAGTTAGATAACAGGATGTGGATATTTAATTTAGCGATTTCTTTTGAAGATGATACAAGAAATTAGACTATTTTGGGCCAGAAAAGAAAGCTATAGTTTGTGAAAGACTTCAATAGCAGAAACAGTTTTAGCTAATTTCTTTAAAAGATGAAACTAACGCCTTATTTCTCATCATGTCAACATTAAGTCGTATGATTTTTGTTCTTCAAAATTATAATCGCGTTGCCAAAAGAAGTGAAACCCTTGATAAGAAAACTTTACCACAGATGAACAATTAATATGATTTCTGAAAAAATTTTAAAACGTAGCCCGCTGGCCATAAAACCATTCGGCCGGCCGAAAAAACAGCCGACCGGCCAACTTTTTTCTTTTGACAATCTAAAAAATTGGAGGAAGAAGAAGAAGAAGAAGAGATTCATCATGATTACATAGACTCATGGTTTTACAATTATAATTCTCAAAACTATATTCACTAGCAGTTTAACAAAAAAAATCAAACAAGAAAAAAACCCAAAATCAAAATCAAAATCAAAATCAAAATCAAAATCTGTGGGTACTTGTATCAAGCTCAATACGTGGCAAGCCCTACAGGTGCCACATCACCATAACCCCACCTACGTGGCAGACCAATAAGGCACCACGTCGGGCATGTCGAATGTTTGATACATGGCGAGCCCTATGGGCGCCATGTGCCAAGGCAACCAAAACTATATGCTTGGCCTAAGCGGGAGCATATATACAAGCCCCAATATATCTAGATATGAAGAGCCCTGCAACAGGCAACACCATGACCCTGCAGGGTCCATGGTCCTTCATACCTCGCTCCAAAACCAAACAACAATGCAATCAGCCCCCAGTTCACTTGGACTTGGATTGATAAACATTGGCTCTCCTAAACATTGAAATAAGCCCGCGGCCCATGCTCCTACTTAGTCGTTTAGAAGCGAGCCCCTCTCCTAAACATTGAGATAAGCCCGTGGTCCATCCTCCTACTTGGTCGCCTGGAAGCGAGCCCTTGGCTCTCCTAAACACTAAGGTGGGCCCTAGCCCATTCACCTACTTGGATGCCTGGGTTGGGAGCAGGACCCAGGCACTACTGCTCGGGATCAACAGAGGATACTGGACTGGCGGCTGAGGTCATGGGATCGTCGAGATGGTTGTCTTCTTGCAAAGACAACTCCATCTCGACCAGGCTTGGAGAAGAGGCAACAATGACCTTACGTTCATGTCATCCGATGCATATACGAAACGTTACTTTCTGCCTGCCATGAAACGTTGAGCCTGTCGACAAGCCACAGACAGCAGAAAGGCTTATATCACTTCTAGCAGAGTTGAGAAGAACGAGCCACCTGTCCAACAGTTTGCTTGGGCTCCAATACTCCTGTGGCCTATATAACGTATCGTATATGTAGTGTGAGAAGAACGAGCCACCTGTCCAACAGTTTGCTTGGGCTCCAATACTCCTGTGGCCTATATAACGTATCGTATATGTAGTGAGACACAACAACAATACAACCAAGTCTCATGCTTAATCACCCTCTTTCACTTTGCATTAGTGTTCAAGGTCTATCACTGCCAACCTCTCCCTCTCCAAGTTTGCCTTGATCTCCTCCTCTCCACCTCCGGTGATCTCAGGCCATTGAAGTGCCCGCCATCTTCCCGGACTACCTCTAACCACACCTCTCACTCACAAAATCTAAAATCAAAACCAAATCCAAAACCAAATCCACAGCCACAGCCACAACCACAAATCAAAATCAAAACTTAAATCAGACAAAATCAAAACTCAAATCAGACAAAATCAAACAAAATCAAACCTATATCAGTTCCTCACAGCCATAGATCGTGGTTCCTCTCACGGGCATAGATTGCTTTTCTTCTCCGGTGAAATCGAATCAGAATTTGCGAACTCTCTCAGGCATGAGAGGGATGCTTTTTTGCTGGCTAGAGAGAGAGAGAGACGAGGTTGGGATGGTGTGATAGAGAAAGAGAGAGAGAGATACCAGGAGTGTTTGAATGTAGAGGAGAGGAAACAGAGATAGAGATAAAGATAGAGATAGAGAAAAGAGGAGAGAAGAGGAGAGGAAACTGATAGATAGGAGATAGAACACTTTTCAGGCCACTCAAGCCTCAATAATTCGAGCTACCAGGCATTTTTGTTTTGATAAATAACCAAACTTTATTGAAAATGCATCAAGGCACAGCTTTGACACTATGTTACATCACCAACTATTCAAAAGCTTAAACTATTAAGAAATAGGTCCAATAATATAAATCAAGTAATCCAACACCAATGAAAGACAAGATTTCTTTTTTAATCTACAAAGGAGGATTTGAGGATTATTAAGTTGGTAACTTTTGAATGCAACTTCAGAAGCCTACTTCATAAGACTCAACTTAGTATAGACATAGCATTAACTACTACCCTATGTATTAGTCTTAAGTGTACTACATACATTGCTGCTTTTTCCGCCATGAAAACATTAAATCCAAATGTATGGATTTACAAACTTCTAGGGATTTTGGGAGGTGTGAGGTCAGTTGTGGCTGACTTAAGGTTCAATAATGAATTTTAATACCATTTGATATATAGGAAAACAGTATGGTCTCCTTTGAAGGTACGAGGGCTCAGGCATTTGGATTTTCAGACAAATTAATAGGCCTTTGTTGGATAAATTGGCTATGAAGGTTTGCTTCGGTAGCAGACATCATGTGGAGGAAAACAGTGGAGGGTGCGGGCCAAAGGTTGGACTTTGACACAGGTGAGGTGCACTTATGAGGGACACTGGAAAGATTGTGGTGGAGGCCTGCGAGCATATAGGGTTTGTGATAGGAGTAGGAGAATAGGAGAAAGGATATAGTCTTGGTATGATGTGTAGTGAAAGAGATTCTCCCTTTAGTGAGTCCTCAGCTTTGTACGGTATAGCTACCTAAGGATACTCTCATTGCTGAAGTATGATAGTTTCGCAGAGAATGGAAGATGTTGAGAACCTGAATGTATTAGAATAGTCCAGCATTGGGAGCTGAAAGAGGTAAACAAGTTTTTTAAGATATAGAGAGGATATCACAGCTTATAAAGGTGAAAGGAAGACACAAATTGCGTGAGGTCCTACAACAAAGTATTGTGCAAGGGAGGTGACACTACATTTCATTGTAGCTCTTTGTAGTCTGGTCCTACTCCTAACATTGATCAGGTAAAGCATCATGATTACAAATTTTAACAGCATCACTTCAAGCAAAACTGTTTCCATTTTTAAATTCTCCATTCACAACTATTTATATATGCTTTCAAGTACAGAAAATTTAAGGATCTGACTACTCAAAATAAGTATACATTAACAGATTATACCAACATAAAATCACGGTGTTATTACTTCCAACAAAAGTTTCTAACAAGCAGTGGAAAATAGATGCTCCATTGATTATAATATTCTTAAATCTAGTACACACCGCTGGTGAGGTGACTGAGGACAATGAGAAGATCCTATCCTCAGGCTGAAACTTTCTGGATCTCTTTAGGCTGCAGTTCAATGTCAAAATAAATAATGGTAAATGGTTGACGTTGAAACTTCATAACGCAGAAAATTTCATATAAAACAAAAAAATCTAACCAAAAACTCATGATTGACTGTCAAAATGTGAACATGGCGTACTGACACAAAATATGTGCATTGGAGTGCTTGACATATATTCACTTAATTATTTGAATGCATGTACACTAACACATCTGTCTAAAATTTCACTGACAATATTAAAAATATTCACTTGCAATGGATTTAAAATTGCAAGCATTATCTGCATATCAAAAGTATCATCTCAGAACCTCAATTTGTGTAGTCTGAAGTACCCTACATTGTTCTAAATTCCATTCCATTATTTACCTAATACCACAATTATTTTTTTTAAGTAAAATTTATTAGAAAAAGCATCCAAGGGGATTTCACCTATGTACAAAAAGCCAAAACTGTCAAATAGCCATATGCCCAATGCCTCAAGTATCAAAAGACTCCGCAAATCATAAAAATTGGTCAAGGGTTGAGTTGAAATTCCCTGAAACTGAAACACAGCTATATAAAAAATTCAAATATAGGCTCCTCTACCCCTTCAAAGACCTGCCATTATCCTACCCCCAAAAACTCCACACCACACATGGAGATGCCAAACACCTATACTCCATGGGAAAATCCAAGACACCCAAAACTTAGATAAAATGATCGTTAACAAATCTTTAACCATTTAGCATATGCCAATGATTAAGAGCATGAATTGTTTCACCCCTCTAACATACAACACCAATTTACAATACTCTGCCACCATATTTTGAATATTTCAAGCATTGTTTCATTCTTTTTCGTCTCATTGGTTTACACCCTCTTGGCACATGATTGCATTTGAAAAAATAAAAGTACTTTTATAAGCTTCTAATAATATGTATTAACAATGTGATTCAATTAATTACTAGAACTTCAAGAAAATAATAATGTTCTAACTTTTTCCCTACTCCAAAAAGTCCATCAAGATTGAATATTTTCTCAAACATCCAACTAAATTTTTTATATTTTCCATTCAAAATTCCACCTAAAACAAAAGTCAAATTTTTCTTTAGACCTAAAAGGAAAACTTAAATCTTGCTCAAGAAAAGCTTTATAGCATCATCACATCATTGAACTGATAATGATCCCTAAAATTGTTGAACTGTATCCAATCTTTAGTACTCACCTTAATTGCTATCAACATGCCATTAGAACTACACAATTCCAAGGCAAAAAATTGAAGGTAATCCTCTTTTATAGACTAACTTGGTCATAAACTTTGTCAATTTCCTCCATGTCATTTTGCATGCAATCAAATGACATTGATGGGGCACCCCTTCCCGTTTCCACTTCAATTCCAATTGCTCCAAAAACAAATCGTTAGTGCTCTAGAACCATACATTATCGCGCAATACATTTTTTCCATTCTGCTCCCTGCTCCCAGCACAAGTTTGAGTCACAAGAATCAGCCTCTGAACAAAAAGGTAGGGGACAGCCTGCTTACCTACTATCACTTCTAGACCCTCTTGTAAGTGCAATACAACCTTTTGTGGCTGATATTTTCCAGTCTCAAAACCATATTTAAATCATTACTAGTATGGACCAATAAAGCGGCTTTGATAATGCATAGAAACGTTAAATTGCTTATGTAACATTTCATTACACTAAAATAGAACGGGAACCTACACGATTCATACGATAAAACATTAACAAAAATTACGGTAAAAGAAACACAAATTCACTTGGAAAACTATAGTTCTATCAAATTAAAGGCTGTCCCAAAAAATCTACCTACTTTGTAGTGTTTTTCGAAGCAGAAAGAAACCCATCAAATCCTTTCAAGGCATTGCCAAAATGACTAGATTCTTGTAAGTAGCTTGTCTCCAATTCATAGACCTACAACAATTAACACCACACCACAACTTTTAAGCTCACAATCAGTACTGGTTACCTAGACAAAATACAAATACATGTATGTATACATTATACCTGTTTTTCAATATTATGAAGCTCTTCCTGAAGCTTCTCTCTCTTGCCCAAGAGAGAAGCAAGTGTGGCAGCTGGATTGTATGAAGCTTTTTTCCCTGAAATTATTGAAAAGAACAACAAAAATTAGAGAATTCAAACAAGGGTGAGACTATCAAAGTTCCAATTTTTTGAAGAAAACAAAATTAAGGTTGTTGAGGGTTACCGTCGGATTGCATGTTTTCGCGCGAAGTTGGAAATCAACGAGCAAAGGCGGTAATTTAAAATATAGTTGTTGATTGGGATTGAACTGAATTTGACAAGAGGTGTGTGGATAGAATAGAATAGAAGAAGCTAGGGCACTAGCGAGTCTGGGTTTTGGTGGTGGTATTATTAAAAGAAGTTTTTTATGTTGGTGCTTATGCCTCCGTTTGGGAAGTGGATTAATCATTTAATTTTTTGATTTTTTTGACTATTTTAGTTTGGGTTAAAAAGTTTGGTTTGGAAAAAAATTTTTGACTTTTTAATTTTTTTGACTTTTTTTGTGAGAGAAGAATGTAATGATTATGGGTTGATGTGATATTTTGTTTTTTGTGACTAAAATAGCTTATTTTGTCTTTTGTGGCTAAAATAGTAAAAAAAACCCCGTTTAGCTCTTGCCAAACGGAGCCTAAAAGAGGGCTAAGGCAGGTTCGGCAAGTGATTTTTTTAATTAAAAATTTAAAAAATTAGGGTAAATTACACTGACACCCTCTGAGGTTTATATTTTATTATAGTTTTTCTTCTCATGTTTTAAAAATTACATCTCTTCCTGAGGTTTAAAATTTCATTACAGATTCTCTCTTCAGCAATTTAATTTTTTTAAATACCAATTTTGCCCTCACTAGGTCAATTACATTAACACCCCTCACATTTTAAAAATTGCAATCCCTTCCCTAAGGTTTAAAGCAGCATTACCAATGGTCCCCTCGGTTAGTATTAATTAGAAAAAAATTAATTGGAAAAAAAATTATTTGAAAAAAAAATAATTTGTTAGTAAAATTTTTAAATTTCTGTTTAAAAATCAACGTAAACTCATTTTTTGAATTTACGTTTTTTTCTCATATTTACAAGCTGAGACAACCATTTATAAATTAAAAAAATTATCAAACAAGTTTTTATGACAGTTTTTTAAATTTTTATAAATATAAATTGAAAATTGAAAACGAAATGGTTACCAAACAGATTTCAGATGGTAAAAATGTTGTAAAATTGACCAATAATTAAGCCGTCGTTTGGGAAGTGAGTTGGCTTTTTGGCTTTTTGTCTTTTTTGGTTATTTTAGCCTAGGCTAAAAAACTTGGTTTGAGAAGGACTTTTTGACTTTTTTGACTTTTTTTGTGAGAGAAGAGTGCAATAATTATGGGTTGGATATGATGTTTTGTTTGTTATGGCTAAAATAGCCTATTTTGTCTTTTGTAGCTAAAATAGCCCGAAACTAACTTGCCAAACGGACTCTAAATAAGCTACCAACGTGAAAAATGACTTATTAAAAGATTCTTAGGCTGTGTATAATTTGATTTTTAGAATTTTTTTTTTAAAAAATTAAAAATTAATTTGGTTAAGAAATAAAAAATAAAAAATTATTATTATTTTTATATAATTTTTATCTTTCGAGTGATTAGAAATAATTTCTTACAAATTAAATTGAAGCAGTCATACGTATATGTATTACCTGCCCAAAAGTGAAAATGATAATTATTTTTTACCCTTAAGTAATAATTATTTTTTATTTTTTATTTCTTAACCAAATTAATTTTTAATTTAAAAAAAAAATCTAAAAATCAAACCATACATAGCCTAAGAATTTTTTAATAAGCCATTTCTTATGTTGGTAACTTATTTAATTATTTGTTAATTTTACGACATTTTTACTATCTGAGGTCTGTTTGGTGACCATTTCGTTTTTAGTTTTCAATTTATTTTTGCAAAAATTTTAAAAACTGTCATAAAAACTTATTTGATAATTTTTTTGGTTTATAAATTGTTGTCTCAGTTTGTAATTTTGAGAAAAAAAGTAAATTCAAAAATGAGTTTATGTTGGTTTGTAAGCAAAAATTTAAAAATTTTACTCACAAAATTTTTTTTCAATTAATTTTTTTTTTCAAATAATTTTTTTTTCAGTTAATTTTTTTCAAATAATTTTTTTTCCAATAAATTTTTTTTTCAATGAATTTTTTTTTCCAACTAATACTAACTGCGAGGCAATTGAAAATGCTACTTTAAAGGGATTGTAATTTCTAAAATGTGAGGAGTGTCAATGTAATTTACCTAGTGAGGGTAAAATTGCTATTTAGAAAAATTAAATTGATGAAAGAGGAATCTGTAATGAAACTTTAAACCTCAGGAATGAGATATAATTTCCAAAACGTGAGGGAGGAAACTATAATAAACATAAACCTCAGGGGGTGTCAGTGTAATTTACCCAAAAAATTTAAAAGTTAATAATTTATATTAAAAATTTTAAAAAAAATTAATTTTTACACATTTTTTCATAAATAATTAAAAAATCATCTCAAACATACTAATTTTTTTATATCATATTTTAGCTAAAAAACTAAAAAATAACAAAAAAAAAAGAAAAAAAAAAAGAGGGGGGCCAAAGAAACCTAACCCATCAAACTAATTGGTTGGGTTTTGGTGTGGCATTATTAAAAGAAGTTTTTTAGTGTCATTAATGGGTTCATTTCATTTGTATTTGTCATATTTTTTTTTGTTATTTCACAACGGTTTATTTCACCTTTATTTCTTAAAAGTTATCATTATTTTTTTTAATTTAATTCTTAAACTATTAATTTTATCTTTTTTGTCCATAAAGTTTGCAATTTCTTTTCTTTTCTTTTCTTTTCATATAGTTTAATTGGAAATAATTATACAAATCAATAATAGTTAAAGTCTAATTTAATTGAAAAAAAAAAGTTGTTAAATTTAAACAACTTAAACTTACAACAAATCCTCCATGTTTGATTTGGTTTTCGAAAAGTTATTTTTAAATTTTTTTTAAAAAAATTAAAAACATTTAGGGTGTGTTTGATTGGGAGGATAAGGGATGGATTATTTACTGTGCGGATTACAATCCGCACAGTAAATCCAATCCGATGTTTGTTTTTTTTTTAGTCCGCCGGACATGGAGTCTGACCGGACTCATTATCCCCATATGGGGGATAATATTATCCTAGGGGGAGTGTGGGACAATTTTGGGGGGATTATTTATTGTTGGGATTAGATGGTGAAATGACCATTTTGACCCTCTACTATTTAATTATGTATTATATTTAGTAAAATTTAATAATTATTTGTTTAAATAAAAATAATCTATACCAGTCAAATTTTTTTATCAATATTAGTATGTTTAAATATCTTTAAACAAAATTTAACCATTAGTATGCTTAATGTTTACTAAAAATAATTAAAATATTAAAGATATGTTTAATATTGCTATTACTTAGTAAACAATTGAAAAAGGGTAAAATGGTCTTTTGTTCATTTATCCTATCCAGTCTGTCCAACCAAACGTTGGATTCACTAAAAATAGTCCTTTCCAGACATCTAATCCCATGAAAAAACAAGCAGGATACATGTCCATTCCAACCAAATAATCCGGAGGATTCACAGTCTCAGGACTCAAGTTCGATGGATTCTAATCCCCCCTTATCCAGTCCGTCCAATCAAACACACCCTTATAGTTTTTACATAATTTTATCTTTTGGAAGGCCAAATTTTTTTTAGAAACTAAAACATAATTTTTTTGATATTTATTTTTATCAAATTAGTTTCCATTTTTTCAAAAATAAATTTGAATTTTTTTTTTCTCAAAATCAAACCAAACAAGACCCCCTTTTTTTATTATTATTTGGAATAAATTATATGTCACAACCAATTTAATGGGTGATTTGCAGTAAAATTTAAATTGTCTAAATTATAAAATTGCACTTTTGCCTCATCAAAATTAGGATTCAATGATAATTGATTTGTACAATCTAAGGATTGGTTGAGCCCGTATAAACTTGAGTATAAGATTTAAAATTTAAAATTTGAATATTACAAGAATCATTAGAAATTTGTTTAATCATTAATTTTAAGACTTTTAATAATTAATTGTCAACGGTCTAGATGCAACTAGCTAAGAGATATCTTGAATTATGAACAATAAAAAAATAATAATAATTGATTCGTACAATCATATTCGATTGGGCCACATGAACAAAAAAATTTCAAAAAATTACTTTAAGAATATATATACAAGATTGAAAATTTAAGAATAAAATAGAAAAAATTGTGATAATTTAAGAGATAAAAGTGAAATTAACCATTTTGAAAATAAAAATCAAATAATACCTTAAGATGAGATTTGGCAATTGCCTTTTAGTAAGATTTTTTTTCTATTATTAATTTCTATTGAATTTTTAAAATTATTTAAAAAAAACATTACACTTAAAAAAAATGCATTCATAATTCAAAGTTCATAAAATAATTCTAAATTTATTTTCAAAGCTTGATTAAAAATTATATATATATTTGTTTTATTAAAACACACGTTTTATACTTAACATAAAATATTATCTCAACAACAATAATTGAGACTCTCTTTTTTGAGGCTTCATAATTTTTTTTTGAGTCGCAATCATTAATGGTATAAGCTCCACATATACACATATATCAATAATTAAAATCTAAAAAGAATTGTGAAATCCCCAAAAAAGAGATCCAAGCATTTTTCTTATCTCAATACATTTTTTTTCTTTTAAATCTTTATATTCATGGAAAAAATATATATAATCCGATGAAAGAACCGCAGATGTGCCCCTATTTTCTTTTTTTCCCCGAAACACGCATCCCATTTTCCTCTCTCTAAAAAGCAAAGAATATTTAAGTTATCGAATCCATCTTGGTCTTTCAGTTCCAATTCTATTGTTAGATCCGATTCTTTTTAGTCCATCCATGTTTAGATTCTATATCTGATGTGTTGGTTTGATTTTTTTTTTTGGGAATTTTGGGGCAAAGTGATTTGAAATTTTTGGATTTGTTTATCTAGAATGAATCTTTACATTAGATGTTCATCGCCAGAAAATTAATGGGTTCTATTCAGTTTCAAGAATGTGGTTGTGCAACATCATTATTCAATGACTTTAGTACATGGGTTTCACTTGATTTAGTCTCTGCTTGGAAGTTCTTGATTGGAACCGAGGTTAAAGATTTATGCGTTTTGAAAGTGTTCAGTTTGATGTGAATTTTAGTTGTTCTAGCAAGTGCTTTTCTTGAAAATTCATGGGCAAAATATGAAATTTGTTCAAGGGACTAAGGGGTGAGAGTATTATTTTCTAAATGAAAATGAGTATGACCGTGATAGACTTGTTTG